TGAAATCATCCCTGGGAAAATTTGCCTCAAGTAGCGAACTCACCTCCACGGAAGACGTTCCACGAGCTCGATATGTCTTTAGCTGTAGCCCTCTGTATCGAGGGGACTCACGCACAAATTCTCAGGAACATCGCGGAGCGCACTCTGAGCAGGCGTTGGATTAGGCTAGTTCGAGTTCGGGACGAAGTGTTGAATGCTGCCGACAGTATTAGAATCTGGAATCCATTCGCGAAAGCACCCTTCACTCAATGTTTCTTCCGTCTGGCGGGTAGATGAGTTCTAATCCTGGGTATGATGCGGCGCAGGCCAGCAAGACGTTTCCGGGAGCCACTTCGTGATTGTTTCCGTCATTTGCCGCGACCAAGGTACGATCACCGCTAAGGTGTTGATTACTACTATGTCACAGACTCGTGGCTTATCTCACTTCGAAAGGCTGCGTGTTGTGCTTTACTGAAGTCTAAGTAATCGAAACGGGGCGGGATCGCGACCATGTGTCGATTCCCTAGGACTCTCTATACCTCCGTATAGGAGTAGCACTGCCTTATTATAATGGCGGCACGTACATGGTGCGACAACGCGATTTTGAATACTCTCTAACCAGACGTGGATAGGACCGTTTAACCACATCATATAAAGCATCAAGCTCACCCTCGGGAAGTTGGAGCAATCATAGCCGTACAATTACTCCACGTGTGCGTTTTACCGCCTCTCAGCGGCACACGTTACTGCCAAGATCATCTGATGAAGTTCCCGAACGAACGTTTTGGTTGTAAGGGAGGTGGGGGAGGTAGAGTGACGCAAATAGTGCCCATTGCATCAATAATTGCCGCGAGTCGTGTCCCGACAAAGTCTACCATACCATTCTGCTTTTGTAAGTAGTATTATACACTTTTCTGTTATATTTGTGGCACGGTGCGACTGTGCACGCTTCTTCTCCGGTTTAGGCATTGAACTCCCAGGCGACTTTAATCGGCTCTAATGCCCCGATAGATCCACCTTTATGGCCACGGTGCGTGCCTTACTATACGGGTCACGGCCATCGGTCCAAATGCCGGCACAAGCCAGGCTGCAGATTTTTGCCCCAAGTGGGTAGAGATGGTATGCAAGAAGAGAAGGAGTGAGGTACCACACGGCAATAGCTCGAATGCAGCGTGCAAGAATGGAACTTAGAATGTTTGTCCTACTCACTCGCCTTTGCATTCCATTTCCTATGGCACGAAGTATACGTGTCGTACGGCTTAAACACTGGGTTTATTTAGTTCAACTGGTTCGCCTAAGTGATATGTACCTTGTCTAGGAGCTTGTCACTGACATCGGTGAGAATCAGTTAAAATGCACTAAACTTTTGGTGAAGACTCAGTCCGTGACAGTCATGGGGAGAACGCGAGAGTCTTTAATGATTTGCCTCCAATGTCACGCCCGCTTGGATTGGACACGTTCAAATTATCCTTATGGTCTCTACACGGGATCAAAGCCCTGAAAGCAAATTACCAAGTCCCTTGGTTATATCACCCCATTTAAATTATGACTAGCCCAACTTATCACAAGTTACATAGACCCTCTCCCATGACCCCATCCTCTCATTAAGTGCATGCGGACATGGAAAAGAGTGGGGCCGCTATAGTTTGATGGTCCTTCCCGATCAGGCGTGGACATACACAGCGCACAGCCATCCTTAAGAGTTTCTTATGGACTACTGGTACCGTGGAGCCGTTGAGTAACTTCGAGAAATATCGTCTGTCTTATTGGGCAGTTGCATCTGCGTAATTCCGCTAATTATGAGGCTGGCGGAAGAGTAGCATGTCTGAGTGACCTTCGAGCGGGTGCTGTGTGTTGCCTTGCAGGCTGGCGACTTCAGCGTAGGCAGTCTTATATCATTAGCGGTGAACCAGCAAATCGACATCATGTAGTGGCTCATCTTACAATGTTGGGAACGATGAATAGTGAAGTGGGCGTCCACGGTTACCATACCTGCGGGACCGTGATGCATTACTAGGTTATCCGCCGATTTCTTCATGCGACTAATTTGGCCGGACAGTCGACCGCTGCGATTCACCGCGGATCTGACGTTGATTAAAATTACGTATCTACATCCATCAGCAGTCTGAGACGTGAAAAGCTTAATCGTATCTGTTTCTTAAAATAACATTGTAGATGAATAGAAACTATGATGTGTGTTTGTTTGAATCAGAGTCTTAGGGTTGACGTGTGAGCGCCTAGATTGGAAATACCCTCGATCGCCGTGGGCACCTATGAGTTTTTTCGGGGACAGAACCTCTTGCTAGGCAGGGAAACTCCTGGAATCATGTCGGTATATGTGGAGATCCGCCTGATTGAGGATCTAATCCGTCTCGAGAGCCCTACCTCCGCCTTCTCTAGGGTGGCATCATACTGGAGACTATAAAAAGTGATCGCCAGTGTCGAAAAGGTCAGATAGGGCAAACAAAAGCGGTGCTTTCCCAAAATGGTTATGTTGGAAGCCGGAGCTCCTCTTGTCGGCTTGAACTAAGATGCCGTACTCTCTGTCTTTCATCGGAAGGAGCTATTTCTAATGTGCAATATCATAAGGCATGGGGAAATAACGAGGACGATCGATCCTCCGAACAATGTTACCGCGCCGACAGGAAGGGGGCTTACGGGCCAGGTCATCAAGCGCCCATACCTTAGACACACTAAGGAGAAGGTTGGGTGTCAGCGGTATTTGCTTAGGAGACCATTATTCCAAAGCGCCTTCCTAAATAAGAGAAATGGGATAGCATCTGCCGCGGATCAACGGTAGAGAGAATCCACAGCATTCCTGCTCCCGAAAGTCCTGGCTTGGTGCCTCCCGAATTTGCGGTACACTTGTAGTAAGCTCACCGGATGCTTGGAACTAAACAGTGCTACACCCGAGGGTAGCTTCGACACACCATCCGGTTTAAAGCTGATCCGACGTGTGCGAGAGTGTCGCCCTCAGCGGGACCCGTAACCGGGTTGGTAGGATGGAAAGCTAGAGGCAGACTCGAAAAAGCTGTGGTCGGAGCCGCTGATGACAAAGTAATGATTTTCTCTCAGATGACCGCAGTCTCGAAAGGCCCGACTATTCATCGTGTCCGTATCCGTAGAAAGTGGGACCGTACCTTAATTGTTGGTAGAACAATCTTCTTAATCCCGGTATAGGGGTAAGGGTCCCCCAGGGGCACCAGGCAGGGTGTTTAGTTACTGGACGATTTAGCAGCAACCCACACTGCTCTAGTTCATTTAGGGAGTGGCCCCCTTAATCTAGATGTGCAGAGCGTATGCGATGGACCGCGAGTGATGACTATCGACAAAACACCAACGAATATGTATCGGTGGAGAAGTGACTTCGAGGACAAGAGCCCGTTTTATACAAAACCATCAACGACCGTTGAATCGGCCCCTGCGCTGAAAAGTAAAACCCAGAGTCATAGCACCAAATCGGCTCCTGGGGTCAGATTAGACACAATAACCCACCCGCCCGCACAGCTCTCATACTCTGCGCGGAGTCCCCGCAGCGCGAGTTAAAAGTCAACTGCAATGCGCTATAGTACTAGCCGGCCCAACGACCGCACTAGGATTGCCAGTACAAATGAGCCCAGGAGCATATAGGGCTGCTTCTCAAAAAGGGAGGACACGTATCCATTGTCGCTGCCCCATTTTGGTGACCGATTGTCGGACCCGCATCCCCGTTCAGAGTTTTGTAGGGTAACAGACCTGACCCAGTATCGGATTGATGATAAAACACGACGACCCAGTGACCTAAGCTACGTGTACTCTGCAAAGACAGGACCCAGCCACCCATCCGTGATTCTTTACGCATTGTCCAGTGATCTACAGCATTAAGCATAAATTTTTAGGCCATCCGTATTGGTCACCGGCTAGCTAGACATGGTCGAAGCGATAAGCATACCCTGTGGATTCTCTATACATTGTCCCTCACTGCTTGAAGCAAAGACCTCGAAGTATGTGTTCGTGCCAGTAGCGTCAGCCGGATGTCCGCGACATCGACGTTTTAATTTCTCACGGGAGCTACGGGACATGAACTAACGCAAGGCTATTTGCGAAAATACCTTAAATACAAAACATTTCATGCAGCTTTCGCGACAATTCCTGACGGGGATATGTTTATCGGTCAGTCAGGTAGGTCTTGTCGACTGATTTAGGTCCAAAAATGGACGATGGTCACAATTGGATTACTACGACGGCTAAGTCTGCATCTGCAGTACTGCGCCGGAGATCCCAAGCTCGGAAAACATATACAAAGGAGGCGCGGTCCTGTTTAGTCATGATTTGCCCGCAGGACAACTTGGAAGCACATTGAAAGCCTCTTGATAAATCTCGGCGCGCCAAATTGGAATTAGGTACCCATTCCCATATTTTTTTAAAGAGCAGAACCGCAGTTTGACTCTAGATTTTGTGCAGGTTAGTAGCTGGAGACATTCGGGGCTGCAGACCTGTTCAACAATTTGACTGCGGAGGCCACTGCATTCACGACGAAATGACATTAGGTACTTCCCGTGTAAAGCGGATGTGTCCCTACCACTAATCAGGACCTCGGATATTCCCACTCAATCTAATCCGCGTGGTATCCTTAACCAAGGTCTCCGACGTCATGGGGATCGTGAGGCATAAGTAGCAGTGCTGATGTTCGTCGTGCTTGAACGAACGATGAATGCTATCCCTAACGTGGGAGGCGCTTACCTACATGGGATGCCCACTTCTATGCCGATCTCAGCAGATGCCCCTAGGCATGGTCTAACAACGTGCTGATATGAATGGAATCGTTAGAAGAGCCACTAGTATCTAGAAGGGACTATGAGCAGACAGCACATGAATTTGCCTTACACTGAGTGCACCACCTGGAAATCCCCTCAGGCTAGGCAGCGTCCCTGCCTAAACCTACAGAGCCCTAACCGATATATGCATACGCCGATCCATGCAGTGTCGAAATCCGGGGTCCCCGATGAAAACACTAGGGCCAGTCTAGTAGGCGTTATTGGTTTGCCGAGTCATGGACGACGAAAATTCGGCCGAAGTACAAGGGGATCTGCTTACTGCGATGGCGTTAAAACACAACGGGAGGATTTGTAGCTGAGGTGGATTGTACTCTACTGATCCATTTCCTGGCGAAGAATTAGGGGAACCGCCTCCCCAAGAGATTTATCTCACGAGACAGTAAAGCTAAGCGGCCTCACTTGTGCAGGGAACCGTGTACCTTCATTTCTGTATAATTCACGTGTGCGGACACGCAGTTAATATCCAAGCGGATCTTCACGTATAAGAAATCTCCCCTCAGCGTCGGGACGCCACTCACAACATTTTTATAGACCCGTACGTGTCACAGACTGACCGGATGTGCTAGTCTCCCCGCTCTTTGTGCACGAAGTTATGAAATAACGGGCCGTACTTTTCGAAGGGTTTACGAATTAAGCCCGAACTTGTTTTGAACTGGGTATCGTCCCGAGTCCGGATTATATCCCCCCGAGGTCGGGTAACTTGACTCAACCCAGGCGCATAGAACATTATTGTCCCCCGTACTACAATTGGCTGTGTTCACTTTAGAACTCTATTCGTGGATTCCGTTGCCGGGGTATATAATTGTTAACAAACTGTAACTGGCATCCGACTTTTGTCGACTGTTTGTTGTACTGCCTAGCCTACCGAATTCCCCTACTAGCGGGCCTCTTGTCCAAAGACGGATTGCTGGAAACTCCGAGCTGTACCCGGTCCTGTCTTCGGTGATGAGTAAGCCCAGGCATAGAGAACGTACTCATAGTTAAGTAGCACAGACCTAAGATACGTACAGCCATGGATAAAAGTGCGGGATCTTTTACTGACCCACGATACCTACGAGAATAAGTCATTATGTAGAAATGGTCCGGAGATGGTGGCTTACGCAGAAATGTTTACATGGGCTGGACCACTTGGCATCTGCAAGTAACATTACGCTACAGGTCGAGATGGATTGCTAAACGCAGACGACGACTTGAATGCGCAATTGCTATTGGCGTATGCCCGCAAACATTGAGGCTCCAATAATCTAGATACTTGGGCACCACTCCCCCCAACTGCAGGCACAACTGGGTTATTAAAATGGCGTAGCAAAATAAGAGCAGGGTTCTTTTGGTGCATTGTGCAGACCTGGAATACCTATTTATGCAACCGAACTGAGTGTGGTAGTCAACTTTGCGTCCAACGGTATCGAGGTATCTCATCGCTGAACTTTTGGTCCACCGTTATTTAAGTGTGCAGTAAATAGTTTAGTAGGTCACTGAATTCTTGCAGTCGTAAATGAAACATAGTTGGCTTCGGTGCTTTAAGGACAGAAATCGAGATAATCCTTACTCAGGTGATGAGCCCGTTGCTGAAGGACTGCTGATCTTGTTGAAGGTCGGTAGGCCGTTACCGAGTGTATAGTACGCCGAGTTTGTGCACCCCAAGTCAAACGAGGGAGTCAGGCACGGGCTGCTCGGGGTTCGCGTTGGGTTTGATTTTGAAGCCATCTGGGGTACCGATTTCTATGGCAGTTTCTGCTACGATCTTCCTCTCCGCGCGACAGCGATTTCGAGGTAGTGGAGGATCTCCAAATCCTAAATGGCAAACTGGCGTGATGTAAATGCAACGTAAAGGCAGGGATAAAATTCGACACCCAGTAAAAGTGGTTAAGGGAAACCCTGTTCGTTATCTAGATGGGAGTGACTAAGCTGATTACCGGTTTTTCAGTAGATGTGGATCTTATAACTACTGAACTTTCCGGGTTCCTGTGAGATCGTCGAGCAGATAGGCGGCTGAAAAATACAGACGTAAATGATGAAACAGATGAACTCTTAAAGCAAACGTTAGATGAACTGGGTGTTCAGGATGTAAATGTATGTGATTTAGAGAAAAATAACAAGGCTGACAATGGCAACCTTTTTCGTGAGTTCATGAAGGCTGTATTAACTTGCTGTGAAGTCAAAAATAATCTGAAAATGATATCTGAAAATGTCACAGATTTAAATATTAAAATTGATGCAAATTACATAAAACGTCAAAGGAGTGCAGAAGCGATCAAAGATATTCTGCAAAAAATGGGAGCCTGTAAAGATGTCCGTGAAAATTGTTTTTCTTGTCAAGGTGAAACGTTGTGGCACAAATGGTCAGACACAGAAAAAGAATTGTGTCGGTTGAAGAAGGGACTCGGTCCTGAATATATGAACCAATTGAGAACGACAAAACAAAATCTCCGCCTTGAACAAATGAAACAGATTACACCAACAATGACAGAATTTATTTCAAACATTTCAAAATTTGATGAAGAAGAGTGTAAACTGTTCATACATGGGCTGGAACTTGAACTGAATGATAAAACAAGAAGAACAATGCGTGAAGAAAATAAAAACGTCAATGCATGTGGTGCTCATGACATAAGCAAAGAGCTTCAACCATCAAATATGAAGTCGTCTTTGTCTACCGTTGGTTTGGAGCATTTCTTTCGTGAAGTTGCACAGATCTATGAAGCATCTAAAGAGTGCAAGATGCATCAAGATTACAAGAACCTTTCAGCTCGTATGGCACATTTGTTTCTGGATGGATTTCCCATGGAGCTCCTAGATGGAGACGCTGGATGCATTCCCATTGACTGGGTCACAGACGTGTTCGGAGAAGTAAACAACATTCTATTAGGAGAAGTACACAACATTCTGAAACGAGACCCCCGCATATTTGTGCTGTCTGTGCTGGGCGTGCAGAGCTCGGGGAAGTCCACGCTGCTCAACACCATGTTTGGGCTGCAGTTCGCAGTGAGTTCTGGTCGCTGCACACGCGGCGCATTCATGCAGCTCCTCCGCATTGACAATGAATTAACTGAAGAGCTCGGGTTTGATTTCATCCTGGTGATCGACACAGAAGGGTTAAAAGCTCTTGAGCTGTCAACACTCGAAAACAGCTATGAGCATGACAATGAGCTAGCAACACTGGCTATTGGTCTCAGCAATGCTACTATTCTCAATGTCAAGATGGAAAATGCAGAAGAAATGAAAGACATTCTGCAGATTGTTGTTCACGCTTTTTTGAGAATGACTGAAGGTGGAAAAAAACCTAGCTGTGTGTTTGTTCATCAGAATAGTGGAGGCATCTCTGCTCATCAGAAGAATAAACAGGACCAGGAACGTCTTCTTCAGATACTGAACGAGATGACTGAGGCGGCTGCAAAAATGGAAGAGAAATCGATGTATTATAAACAATTCACAGATGTTATAGATTATGATGCAGAAAATGACAAATGGTACATCCCTGGACTCTGGGCTGGTGGTTCATCTAGGGATCGGGTCAGTTGTACATATAGTGATGAGATATGGAAACTAAAAAAACACCTTCTCGAAAAATTCAAAAAACGTGCATAGTTGGACAACATTTACACGTTGCCAGAATTCAGTGCATGGATAACGACGATGTGGACAGCAATGAAAAAAGAAACTTACGTCTTCCATTTCCGGAACTTTCTTGTTCTTGAAGCATACAACACGTTATGCACTGCATATACAGGATGGGAATTAAAGCTTCGTATGCATATGATTTCCTGGATGCAAGATGTGTCCAATAAAGTAAAGCGTGCATCACATGACAAGCTTCAAAATTTGAAAAGAAGTCTCGATAAAGATGTGAATGATGAAATTTTAAAACAACAATGTATATTTAAGGACTGTTTGTCAGATTTTTTTAAGAAGGGTTCTGGAAAAACCACCCTTGTTGAGAAGTACAGAGAGGATTTTCTCATTAGTGTTCGACAATTGTGCTCTGTGGTGTCAAATGAGACTCTTAGCAAATGCAAGGAGTGCATCGATACACATGAATGCCTAGAATCTTACAGAAATGTAGAAACTCAATACAAACAAACTATAGGCGGGAAAGTTAAAAGGGTCTTGGAAAACTGCACACATTCAGACAAAGGATTGGACGAAGAGCAACTTCAGAAGATATTTAATGTAATTTGGTCTGAAACGGTTTCTGATCTCAAGAGAATTACATTGCAAGAATGTGACGTGAAACGTGACATGGAAAAAGCATTGCTTTCTTTGGCGAAGACAGATGCCGGTCTCTTCAAGGAAGGTTGCAAAGTTGTTCTTGGTCTGATATGGGAAGAAAATATTTTAAGACACTTAAAACCCACTCCAGTGGAATGCATAATAAAGCAAATTCATTTGAAGAAAAAACTGCACTAGACAGCATTGTAAATCTCTCCAGTGACATTATTGATAAATGCAAACAATTCATAACAACCAAAGCACATGCTGCCACAGATTACTGGCCAGCTTACTGTGATGAACTGCTGCAGCAAGTAGATTTGATTTTGAAAAACACACCCGATGATGACAAACAATACAGTAAAAGTTTCGTAATAGACATCAAGATGTATGTTTGCTCCATTGCCATCGAACCTTTCACAAAGCAACACGAGCGTATTCTCAAGGAAAACGACCCATCGACTCGACTTGAAGAAATTAAAAGATCATATTTCAATTTGCTGACATCAATGTGTAAAACTGAAGATGGAAAACAAAGAAATGTTATCGCCCTTTGTGATGGATGCCTTAAACCCGCATTCTTGGCTGTTCTGAAAGAACAATTAGGGACAATTATTGTCCAGGACATGATGAAAAACATTGTTCTTTCAAATCGTAAAGCACTTCAAGCGACTATGTTGTCGTCCGTATTGAACGGAAACAACTTTAACACCTTAATCAGTTTCATCCACGACTCCAACGCCTTCACTATATCAGCTATAAAGGGTCTCATCATAGAGCATTGCACACAAAGGGATGAAAATAAAGAAGAGAAGCTCTATAACATCCAATGCTTTGCACAACCTATTCTAGATGGGATCATGGCAAAATTAAACAATGCGATATTAAAAGAAACTGAACACACTGAATATATTACAGTGGCTGATTTGTTAGAAAAACTAAAATCTAATCTCATAAAAGACATCGTCATGAAATTTGACTTTCTTCAAATTGTAGGACCCCACACTCTTGAAAACCCAGACAAGATCAAAGAGTTTACTAAAGAAGTTGGTGAGGGAATTAAGCGAGTGAGCTCCGAAATTCTGAAATATTTGTGTGGCTTGGAAAACCTTAACAAGTTATTGGATGAAATGCCAGTGAAGCCACATGAAGAGATATTCAAGACCGTGTCTGGCTGTGGGCAACATTGTCCCTTGTGCAAGGCCCCTTGTGACCGTGGTGGCAGTGCTCACAGGGAGCACGGGCAGCGATGCATTACCCTCAAGGGCTGTGCGGCAGGAAGTGTAGTGACGGAACTCTGATCGTCGATGTATGCACAACGTCTGTGGCTAAAAGCAAATGCTCATATCAACGAGCACACTCGTTCACTAACGAGGATACTAATAAAGAGTGGTATGAGTACAGGAACTATCGTGAAGTTAATGACTATTACAAATCTTGGGACATTCCACCAGAGACCATTGACCCGGAGCCAGTTCTTTGGAAGTTTGTTTTCTCTAAATACAATGAAAAACTTGCCAAGAAGTATGAAACCAAATCAGCAAAACTCCCACAAGAATGGGGTCTTGTAACAAAGGAAGCTGTGGAAAACAACTTGAAAGAAAAATACGGGAAAATAGAAAATATAAACCTATTTTGGAATATTATGAAGAAATTTACCATCGACTCTTTGCGATACATTGCACACGGTTTTGTGAACATTACTGGGATAAAAAAAAATCTCTCCAAACACCCAACTTCACACACCGATTCGCACTAAATTCCCAGTCGAGTCAAATGATCCTTATAAATTATTTTTTCTCTACACTCCTACTTTGAGCGCATATAATATGAAGTCATCCACAATCGATTATATTGATATAATACACCGAGGACCTTTATCACACTTCATCTTTTGAACATTTTGTATATCGGTCTGAAACCGTTTTACCTGGCAAAATCACTTTCTCACTTTCCCCACCATATTTTCTCACCTAGGCCTCTCTTTATATAAAATTATAATAAACACAACTCTCCCCCTAAAATTACCTCGACAATCCCGCCTGAGGACCAGTATTCATGGGGATCAATTTGCCAAATTCTGCTCCTGTATGGTGATAGTGTCGGACAAGACAATCATGTCCATCACTGCACTCGGTCAATTACCTTGCTAACTTTTGAGAGGGACTTTCAAACATTTTTTTTAGATACCAAAACACGTTCCGTCGGAGTGGGCAGGTAGGAACTTGGTTGGACAGCGCATTCGTGCACGACAGACAGACACATAATTCCTGGTGGGCAGTGTGGAACCTGTTGTTCCTACCTGTATAATTGTAGTGTGTCGTGTATAGTGTAGTGTGTAGGTTAAACGTTGCGTTTCATTCGGGCACCACGGGGTGACCAGTCCCTCCCCACCCAGCCCCACCCCTCTCACCCTCCACCCTCCCCTCCCCATATGCACGACAGACAGACAAATAATCCCTTGGTGGGCAGTGTGAAACCTGTTGTTCCTACCTGTATAATGTCATTGTAATCTTGTGATTTTGTGAGTGAACCGAAAATGTATAAAAAAATAATTATAGCTTTAATAGCGTGTATATCAATATATTAATCATGTTCATGGTGTAAGAATGTACGTATTGCTTAACTTTTAAGAGCAAAGCCCGTGCAGGGACGTGGATCTCGGTGAATTATTTACTTTCTAGATGTACACTAATACTTACTCTCTACCTTGTAATGGTTTTGACTCGTTGCACCTTATGTTGTGAGCATCTCCATCACTGCTGGAGTTGCCCAAAGGGACCTTCCTAGATCCCTCGCACTCTGCTGGCACACAGCGACCCAACTGACTGATCCCAGCTTCCACTGGCGCCTCCTTGAGCGAGCCAGGGTCTGAAAGCCGGGACTCTGGTACTGCCTCTGTTGGAATCATCCCAGGCCAGAACAACCCTTAATTTGGCTCCTTTCTACGGACCCATGCAACTCCCACGCATCCTACCCAGCCATCTCGCGTGTCTCAATACTCATTAACCCTGCATCCAACCACTACCCAAAAACATATGCACTGTCACAAAACCCAGTTACACACTCGTTGTCAGCACTTCAGCCAGAGTGATTCTCTACATCACCAACCGCCTTGGAGACCAACATGCTCTGTACACGTTAGCATTTGTATCCACCATCTGTTTAATTCGATCCAGCTTCCAGCCTCAACTACCATGACACTCATCGTCACAACCATCCTCACCACAAAGGCCCCAGCTCAGTAATGCATAGGCACCCATTCGCCAGAATCATCACCCTCCACCTCCATTCCATGCCCACTCCGAAGAAGAAACTAACCATTGGAACTTGGACAAGTCCAGCCTGAGACCACCTCTGAAGAATCGTGACACCACTGGGACAATCACCTTACTCAACTTTAGGGACTTTTCAAACATGTTTTAAGATACCAAATATTGTCATTGTAATCTTGTGATTTTGAGAGATGAACCGAAAATATATGATTTTTTTATTATAGCTTTAATAGCTTGTATATCAATATATTAATCATGTTCATGGTGTAAGAATTATACGTGTTTTTAAATTTTAAGAGCAAAGCCCGTGCAGGGACGTGGATCTCGGTGAATTATTTACTTTCTAGATGTACACTAATACTTACTCTCTACCTTGTAATGGTTTTGACTCGTTGCACCTCATGTTGTGAGTATCTCCATCACTGCTGGAGTTACCCAAAGGGACCTATCTAGATCCCTCGCACTCTGCTGGCACACAGCGACCCAACTGACTGATCCCAGCTTCCACTGGCGCCTCCTTGAGCGAGCCAGGGACTGAAAGCCGGGACTCTGGTACTGCCTCTGTTGGAATCATCCCAGGCCAGAACAACCCTTAATTTGGCTCCTTTCTACGGACCCATGCAACTCCCACGCATCCTACCCAGCCATCTCGCGTGCCTCAATACTCATTAACCCTGCATCCAACCACTACCCAAAAACATATGCACTGTCACAAAACCCAGTTACACACTCGTTGTCAGCACTTCAGCCAGAGTGATTCTCTACATCACCAACCGCCTTGGAGACCAACATGCACTGTACAAGTTAGCATTTGTATCCACCATCTGTTTAATTCGATCCAGCTTCCAGCCTCAACTACCATGACACTCATCGTCACAACCATCCTCACCACAAAGGCCCCAGCTCAGTAATGCATAGGCACCCAATCGCCAGAATCATCACCCTCCACCTCCATTCCATGCCCACTCCGGAGAAGAAACTAACCATTGGAACTTGGACAAGTCCAGCCTGAGACCACATCTGAAGAATCGTGACACCACTGGGACAATCACCTTGCTCAACTTGAGGAACTTTTCAAACATGTTTTAAGATACCAAATATTGTCATTGTAATCTTATGATTTGTGAGATGAACCGAAAATGTCTGATTCTTTTTTTTAATGAAAGCTTTAAGGCTTGTATATCAATTTATTAATCATGTTTATGGCGTAAGAATGTACGTATTTCTTAAGTTTTAAGGCCTGATTGGTCTTCAATTTACGCTTCAATTTATTTGCGAATTGTTACTTCATGTGATTAAACACGACCCCTTCCATAGCACTGCTGGTTTGGTTTATTTGTCGTAATCTTTCATCCACATGAAACCGAACAACGCTACCGCTCCACCCCCACCCTCCAAGCATGTGAGGCAATAGGGGCATGGTGCGTTCCTGCAACATGCGAGCACACTTTTGGGTTTTGCTATTTCTCTGCATCAAGCATTGGCTGGAAACGACGTACAAGTATCCAAATATATGACCTGCGATATGAGGTGGTGTTACTTGCCCTGGTTAAGATTTATTTGAGGACACTTATCACACTGGTGTGTCCGTTTTGAGTGTACGTGTGTGTTTTTGTTGATATGTGTGTTTTTGTTGATATGTGTGTTTGTACATCTTTGTATGTGTTTTAGCGCACTAAGGTGCCAACTGTTGAAGTACTAAAGGCGATCCAGAGTCTGAGACCAGAAAAGGCACCGGGGATAGATGATCTCCCAAGCGAAATGCTGAGGGAGGATGGCGTTTGTGCACAGCTGCCCTACGTGACATCATAACAACAGTCTGGACCACTGGACGGGTTCCGCAGGACTGGAAGGATGCCCTGGTGGTCCCCTCTTTAAGAAGGGGGACCGCACAGACTGTAACAACTACAGGGGCATCTCACTCCTCAGTGTGCCGGAAAAGGTCCTGGCAAGGATTCTTCAACATCTCCTTGCTAGGCACACCGAGAAGAGGCTTGCGGAGCCCCAATGCGGTTTCAGTAAAGGGCGGTTCAGCACCGATGCCATATTTTCTGTCCGTCAAGGCCTATGATACCATCAGTAGGCTTGGGCTTTGGGTCATTCTTCGTGCTTTCAGAGTCCCTGACCCTCTGCTCACGATCATTAAGGACCTTCATGATGGTGAGCAGGCCCGGGTATTCACTGTTTACCTTGGGGTGCAACAGGGATGTCCTATGGCTCCATTCTTTAACGTCTATTTCGACCACGTAGTTTGTGAAGCCTTTGATGGCTGTACCGGAGGAATTTCCATCTGGTACAGATACAATGGGAGGCTGATCGATGCCCGGGTGTGGTAAAGGGATGGCTCCCTATTGGTCAACCACGTTATGTATGCCGATCTGGTAATTGCCGCTCACTCAGAGGAAGAGTTGGAGGTGCTGCTGCTGAACCTGGAGCATGCCACTAAGAGGTGGGGCCTTACCATCAGCCCCACCAAAACTAAGCACCTGCCTGGGTATTTTGTACCATCGGACACTCCACCCCCCCGCAACTCCCAATTGGTGATGGGGCAGTTGTGGAGAGAGTGGAGAGTTTCCTATACCTGGGCAGTGTGCTCATGACCAGCTCCAGTTTGACAGCAGAAGTCTCACTCCGAATCAGTCGAGCAGCATTATCTTTTCATGGGTTGTGTAACGCTGTGTGGAAGCTACCTGGTCTGTCGCTCCGCACGAAGTTTCAGGTCTTCTCGGCCACAATAATTAATTTCCTTCTCTACGCTTGCGAAACGTGGACCCCCTAATGGAACATCTTTGCTGGTTATAAACATTTAGGCTGGCCTGCCTACGATCCATCCTGGGTTTAACCAGGCTGGATTGTATGAGGAGCTCACAAATCCATGAACGATCTGGGCAAAGTCCCATCGGTGAGCTCTTCCGGCAGGCAAGGCTGCGTTGGCTGGGTCATGTAGCCCGCATGCCCAGTCACCGCATGCCTAAACAGCTTTTGTTTGGCCGGATAGAGGGGGCTAAACGGGAGGGGCATGGGCTAGAGAAGATATGGAGTGATGTGGTACAGGAGGACGTGGAGCTGAGTGGACTTGCCGATGACTACTTCCAGCGGTGTCAAGATCGGCATCTGTGGAGGAGGCTCGTGAAGTACACTACTGGGCAGTTGAAGACAGTCGCCCTCCAACAACAACGGAGGCCGGAGAAGTGATGCTCACAACAATGAGCGGAGCGCCGGGTGGCTAAAGCACAGCAAGTTGGCACAGTAGGGGACACAGGTGGTGCATCAGCCAGTCATCTCAGTCAGTCGACCCATGGCAACTGGGTCTGCCCTGTCATCTCCTGCCAGCGGGCGTTCGACACTTCACGTGGCCTCAAGGTGCACATAGCCTGGCATAAGCATCACGTGGTGACGTCACAACCACTTAGTGGCAAATGGTGGTTGTTGTTGTTGGTACACTGCAGAATGAACCGGGCGACTAAAGTTTGATTCCCGCTCATGGCAAACACCATTCACGATTATCTGAACCGGTCCTTGGCTTCCCCTAGGTCAACTCGGCTTCAAATGAGTATCTGGTGCGATGTGTAAACATCGCCACTCAGCAGACAAAGGCAAACGGGCAAGGTGCTGGCCACCCACCAGCTCGTGTGCCATGCCAGCCTTCTTCATAGGTGCTGCTCGCTAATAGCGATTGCCATAACAGTCTGCTAAAGTCTATACGGGGGATCTTTGTGCTTGAGTGTATTTGTGTGTCTTACCTACAAAGTAATTTTGTCTCTCTCTGTCTGCACACGCCTTCAACGATTTTAACTGACAAACTGTTGGGTTTACGTTTCGACCAAGTACACAGATACACTCTAATCCCCTGTACGAAAACGCGCTCTTTGTTTTCCATCAAATGTAAACTAATAAAATAACACCTTATATCAATTACGCTGATCGTGGCGCCAAAAGCACGCCTCTGCGCATGTGTAGAGGTGTTACGGAGGGCTTAACAAACACACTGGGCGTGGTTATGCCTGTACGCCAAGAGGTGCTTACATCGACGTCCGCACCATTCATCCTGGGGGCTGACACGGAGCTGGGATCCCCACGGCCCCACCCCTCAGTGGGGGAGTTGCTATATAAGGCGGTGAGCTGGAGGGCTCGGGGTTCAGTGTTCAGCCTTAACCAGTGAAGCAAGAAGACCTGCTAGATAGGCCCTGGGAATCCCTTGGATCGCTGTCCTTCTCAGGACCGACCAGGGCAAGCCAGTGGCGTGGCCCCAAGAGCCCAGAGCCGATGCTCTTGTAAGAGCCGGTCTGGGGACTCAGGGTGCCGTAATCCCAGCTTAACCAGGGCTGGGTTAGCTAGCCTCCCCTAGCCCGGTAGTGGAGGACCTAGGAGTAGGCGAGCTGTGTTGATCTCCCAGTTAGACGGGTGAAGGGGCCGATACCCCTTCAAGTGTTGTACATCTCGGCCTGTTATGTACTTTGTGCTTAATAAATAAGTGTGCCTCCAACTACGTCGTCCAAGTCTCCTGGAACCTACTACAACTGGCGTCAGAAGTGGTCTTCTAAGGATGGATACAAGACGGACGGCTCGTACTAGGGAACCGGGGGAGGAGGAAACCTCGGCCGACTCAGAGCCCGAGATTGCGGAGGGCGAATCCAAGCAACCGGGGCCGAGTCCACCCACACCGCAACGGCAGGACGGGTGGGGACCGTCGGCTGACGGACTACGGCTGGCTCACTCCCGCCTGGCGGAGCTACTCTACGCGGCAGCCGCCACGTTGGAGGAAATCACTCGCCTGGGGGCTGGAGGAGCTGCACGGGGCGACGACGGACGACACGTGGCGCCGGTTCCCGCCATTTCTACGGGCCTGGAAGTCGGATTTGCCGCCATCAGTACAGTGGGTGCTGAGGGCAGGGCCGGGCTACGTCAGGCGACCGACTCTCGCCAACCAGGAACCGCCACGTCATCAATGGCGGCCGGCATGTCACCAGAAGAGCGACCGCCGATGGCACCCGCCCTTCCCGCCAAAACTGTGCGGAGTGGCGGGAACGACGGGGCGCGATCTTCGACTGCGGACGCCGCGTTACAGCAGCGATTACCACCTCTAAAAGAGTTCGTGGGGGAAGACGGTGACTGGGGAAGCTTCCGAAGACGCTTCCTCGCTCACCAAGAAATGGCACAATGGACGGATGACGAGGCACTACGCGCGCTACCGGCGATGCTCGACAGTGACGCCCTCGCTACCCTCACCTCGGCGCCAAGAGCGAAGCGCGCCACGCTGCAAATGGCGCTTCAACTCCTGTCTGCAGTCTATGGACCACCTTCGGACTGCAGGCAGCTGTTCTACGATCGCCAGCGGGGCGCCAAGGAATCGCCTCTGGCATACCGCACAGCTCTCCTGGCCCTAGCGAAGGCGGCTTTCCCTCGGATGGACGAGGAAGGGGTGGATGCCATGGTGGCAGAGAAGATACTGCTGTTGGCGGACGATTTGGACATTGTCGTCTTGGCGCAAGACGACACGGAGATGTGTTCCCTGCGGGCCGCGCGGCACATCCACGCTAACTTGCTGTCCCAGCGTCGCAAGGCCAGCAAGGCGGCGGCCGGGCATACCGTGGCTGCAACCACCCTCCCATCGGAAGAGGTCTGCGCTGTGGATCGCCCGATGGAGTGGAGAGCCGGGGGACGACCGGCTCGGGACGGACCGAGCCGCCAGGATCAGCCCAAGCCGTCTGGGGCGCTCACGCGCTGCTACAACTGTGGCCTCCGGGGCCATGTGGCTTCGGGATGCCGGGCTCCTCGACAGCGCGGAGCGACGCCTCGGCCGGACGTCGCGCCTCTACCCAAGCCTCACCAGCAAACTCCGGCGAGTCGTGGCACCCCACATGTTTGGCCTACGCACACACCTGTGACACACTCACGCACTGCAACGAACGGGGGTCAAAATTGCCTGTCGTCGCGCCGAAACGTGCCACAGTGGGGAGTGCATTCCAACCGGGCCAGTGGTCCGAGTTGGCCCATCGTGTTGTTGCCGCGTCGTCAGGGTCGTCGGTCGTTGTGGGGCATATTGATGGGGTTGAGGTGCGGGTCTTAGTTGATATGGGAGCATCGGGAACTATTGTGTCCGATTTGATTTATAACATTCTCCCCGTTCAAAGCCGACCTTTGCTCCCCGTTGATGTTTCATG